TTTTCAGATTGCAGCCATATTTGAATGCACTTACTAGTTGATTTTTAATACACACACAGAAATACACACACATATACACACCAGTGATGAGAGGACAAACAATAAAAAGCATGGCTGGCTCCTGAACACTTAAATCTTGAAATAATTTATATCAATATTCAAATAATTTTCTCTAAAAAAGTGCATTTAAATGCGATTGATGTTTATGAATGCACATTGTTTTAGTTTCTTTATTTATGTTATCAATAACTGTTTTAAGAAATTATTCCTGATATAAGTTTGTGCAAAGATGGGGGAAGAAGTCAGATCATTTTCGTAATCTACATGATACTGGTTAATTATGTTTGCATGCAGCTTATGTCTGAACTTGAATTCATACAATCTTTGCTTTACTGCAGAAGACCGCAGAAATCAAAAACTTAAGCGTCTGTAAACTTTCTTGGAAACTTGGAGTTCTTTCTATGTAGGAATAAAGACAAACAAAAATCCAAATGACATTTATTATTATTTGGACATATTTCTACATTTGATCTGCAACTGTGTGATGTGCTCTGTTTTTTGATTGACTACAGACTATCAGAAGTCATTCACTGGTGTGTTTTTTTTTGTATCAGTGCGGTGAATGTATATCAGCAAAAATGACAGCTTCCAAGTAATGGCGAAAATCAATGGAGACATAGAACACTTCACTGCAGTTTCTTCTGAATATGAGCCTAATTCTTTTAGTCTTATCCTTATCATGTCAGCAATTAGCCTGACAGATAGCCACTTTGAGCCTGACTGCTGCATCAGCTCACCAAAGGCTCACCAGCTCAAGCCTAGTGAAACAGGATACCATCATACGATCTGAATGACTGAATACCGCAATCCCAATCTCCACAATGATGGAGTGTGTGAGTGCTTATTTGTCCCACAACGCAATCATAAAGAGCGGGAATGCTCTAACGCACTTTCCTTAAGTCTTTATGTCTGCATACTTTTCTTTTGGACTTACGCAGATGGATGCAATAGTCCAACCTCACTACATGTAAACAAATTATCAATGAAGTGTTCAATAGTTCATGCAAAGTGTGCTGAAGGTGCCCTTTGGTGAGGAAAAACCAAAGCTCTAGTATAGTTGGCTATTTCATTATGACATTTCTTAAAAGAGATCATGGTAAGAAACGAGCTACGTAGCGGCACAAGCAGCCTTCTTCAGGGCGTAGCTCTCAGCACACAGTCTGCCACGTTCTGTTGTAAGCTAGTTTATTAACAGGATAGGTTTTTAGCAATTTCATTATGTAAAAGTCATTGAACAAAGGCTTTTTTACTTTTCCCAGAAGATGGCCTTTTTGACGTATTCAACAGTTTGAAAAATAGATAAACCAAACATGAACAAAAGGCCTTTTTGATCTGAGATTCTGCTGCAGCTCTGTAACAAATCCCTGACGTCACTCTGCCTCTGTACTGTTACATTAAACCCCTGAAAGGCATGATATTGTGTGATTTTACGGTGCGTTAAGGCGTTGCAGAAGTACAGGAGGAACAATGTGTATACAAACAGTGCCACCTTCATACACACACACTCAGAGGCACACACACAACTGCTGTTACGCCCTGTCAGCCCCGACGTGCAGCGACGCCATTTCTTAACCTTGCTGGCTCAGCAGCAGGACGACTGCTCCCCCCCATCCATTACGTCTCAGTAACAATTATGTCCCCTTAACATTAACAGGAAAGACGAGGTGTCACAGTCCTGTCTTAAGCCGGCAAAGTGGAATGATGACATTTTTGTGTATTTTGGTCTGTTTGCTATTTGTGTGGAACTTTTTATGCTACTGTCTTCATCAGGACTCCCTTGCTGAAGAGATTTTGTGTCTGATTGTTCCTGGCAATTATTTTTTTAAAGGTTCTAAAGTTAGCATGAACATAACAGGAAAAACACAAATATGTAACATCTACTTTAATCACTTTGGGTGTTACCTGTAGCAAGTTGTATGTTTTATTTGGAGAAATATTCACAAAGGAATTAACCTCATCACCTTTCTTCTGATAGTTTGCTAAAATATATTGCGATGTAAGACAAAAATACACTAAAAATTAGCTTTTAGGTTATCATTTAATTAGACATTTTGTTTCTAGGCAACATGTGATGTCATGATGGTGTGTCTCATTCCTAATTTTTATGCCTCAAGCCCTCACATACTACATGTCTGATGTCATTTAAGTCTGAGGGGGTTTAGTGCTGAGGCTAAAGGGTGGAAATTGTGTTAGTTTGATTTGAGCTTTTCTTATGCAGCTTTGCCAGGAGTCTGTTTAGCTGACAGTAAATGTGTTAAGTGTGTGAGGGTACAGGGAACAGTTACTTTATGATCTTCCTCGTCTGTTGATAAGAAAGCTCGTCCTTGTAAACAGAACGCCGCTGAAGTCCGTCTCTGGTTTTTCGTGTAAGAATCAGAAGATAACAAATGAAGAGAGTAGAGGAGAAAAGAAAGGCAACAGCAGTCGTTCCATTTCTTCTTTTGCCAATTACTGTCTGTGAATGTAAGCTGACATGTTGTACAAAGACTGTTGTTTCAAAAGACACAAGCTGCCATTGCACAGTCATCTTGTACAACACACACACACACACACACACACACACACACACACACACACACAACTGAGGTAACCATGAAAAATATGGCGATTCATGTTACCATCTCTACGCAAACTGTTAATGAGAGTGTCTCTTTATCCGTCAGTCCTAAATGAGGAGTCAGGAGGGATGTAAAAACAAGATAGAGGGAGACGGGAGAGGGAAGTGTCAGCCAACAGCTGAGCTCAGAACAACCAGAAACAGAGAGAAGAGCAATGGACGGCACACAGGGGGAGATGGAGGGATAAAGAGAGGTAGAAATAGAGAGGTCTGAGAGAGGAGTAGACAACGTTAGGGATAACAGAGACTGAAGCAGCTCTCCCAAAAGCCCAAACAGAAGCAGGAAAACAAAAGGATAACAGGGTGAAGTCAGAGAATTGGGAAAACAAATAACTTCCCTCTCTCGCCATTCAACATCCTGTTAGGGCCAGAGCACAGACAGACCTCTCACAGTGCTGTCACCCACAAAATAGAGCCAATTATACACATGCACCCCTGGCCAGAAGCCAACTTTGCAGCCCTTGGCTTCTCCAGGACTACACAGGGATTGTGTGTTTGAATAATTTTTTTTCCTTTTAGACAAAAGGAGCAGTGAGGAGGGGACCACCAGGCCACAAAAGGGGTAGCTCTTTAAACCCTCAGGAAATGTATTAAAAGCTTTACATAAGACATATTTACACAGGAAAAAGCTCCGTCTGCTGAATCCCTCTAGCCTCCCTCTCACTGCCTCTCCCGTTTTTTAAACATCAGATATTCTTGTTCATCTTTTTGACACACCGTTTCCCTCTGATTTGGCTCTCTTGACCCGGCAAATCCCTGTCTCTTTCTCATCCTATTTACATTTGCATTTGCATCAGTCCTTTTTTTACTTCTCTGATGCATGTCGATATAAATCTTAAGATCTAAAGTCAGGGGTCTCACTGCTCTGGACTGACATGTTTGCACAACAAAAAAATATCTCATGGTTGATGCATGAGCTGTAATTGCCTTGCTGCTGTCAGGGTGCAGGGCACAGTGACGGGAGAGGAATGAAATGCAACTGTTTTAGGGTCAGGCCATCTGCTAGAATACCTGTGTGATTCTTGAAAGGAGCATGACACCCTCCATCAACGTCTTTGTGACTTAAAATGTAGACAGAGTGCAGAGTAGCTTCCACCGAGGTGTTCACCTTTCTGTCTCACCCCAATAATCCCACTGATGAGAGGACAACAGGCTGTGCGGCTTTGAGGTCACTCCTTTCTCGCTCAATTGATTGACGGCTCACACTCGTTGACGACAAAGCTCGTAGCCTCTCCACACACAGAAAAGCTACACCCATCAAATAAAGTAGCTTTTCGCTTTGATCTAACCAGGGAGTCCAACTGCATCGTTTCATAGTCATTTGGTGGGAATCCACTTTCTGCTCAACTTCTGTGTGATGTTCTAAATATCTGTGGCAGCGCTACAGTGGCAGCCTGCTGGGACTGTTGTCACACGTCGGAGCGGGGCATGTGTGGGTGCAGTGTGTGGATGCAGTGTGTGGATGCAGTGTGTGGATGCATGTTGGTGTAGTTGGGTTGATCCTCCGGTATGAAAAGTTTGCAGAGTTTGCAAATCATTCACTGAGACAGATGCTCATGGAGTGACACTAAGCTGTTGTGCATCTGTGCACATGTGTGTGTTTGTTTTGCAGATTTTAAACCGTGCATCTGCACATTAAGCTGCATCTGTAGCCTCTTATTTTTTGGAGGATATTACATCCCCCCCCCTCCCCATATCTAACCCTCAATTTCTATGTGCTGTTAGTAAGTCTATATCTCGATGTGTGGATGTGTTCGTTTGTGGCCCAAACCCCTTTACTTCCACAGAAGTGTCAGTCTGACACACAAGTCATTTGAGAGTCATTTTTTTCCTCACATATGAGCAGAGCCGATTGTGTGTGCATCTGTGTGTGAGGGAACTCTACCCCAAGGCAGACTGGTTTCACCATCTGTCCTTGCTGTGTCCTGTGATTTCCCTGTGTAATTCAGACAAATGTCAGACTATGGGCAAGGGATGAGCTCTGACAAACTGCTCCAGACACGCTCGGCTCACAGTCTTCCCCCTGATACTCCTGATGAGCTCTCTGTCACCTTCCCTTACCCAGGGTAGTGAGAACATTTTAAACTCTGTGAAGCGTTTCACATATCACCGAGAATGCATGTCTCTTGCGTGGCGGAGACATGAATTACAAAGAGTACATTTCAGCACAGAAATCTATCTACTGCCAGCAGTTCAAATGGCAATCTTGCACTCAGGCGGGGACGTACTAAAGGATAACCCACCTGTTCAATAGGAAATGTAATGCTGTTGTTTCTGCAAGCTCTAACCTGTTTCCTCTCTGTGTGTGATTGTGTGTTTGCAGTATAAGGGCCAGGCAAACCTTCATGTATTTGAGGACTGGTGTGGCTCCTCTGTTGCCCAACTCAGAAAGAACCTGCACTTCCCTCTCTATCCTCATGTAAGTATTACAGATAAGACTGAGTTACCCTGTTCCACTTCCTGTTCCTACACCTTTAAGGCTCTGCATACTGGCATGGAACTCTCACAGTTTACAATTACAGCATTGGGAAAGTTACCACTAGATCAAATTTTAGTAAACTTTGAAGCTACAGTTAGTTTACTTGAGGAAGAGTCAGACAGAAGCCTGCTATTGTTTTCTTACTGGCAAGAGATGATGTGCTAGTTTGGATAGCTGCTTTTCCTGCCAGATTTGATCATTTCTTGCAAGCTAACTAATTACTCATGCAGTTAAATATCAGTTACATGAAATGCTCTATATTTTGTATGATCTCTATTGATGTATTTCATTTGTTATTCTCTTGTTATTGCAGGACAGAGTCAAAGAAAAATGTCCCTTTGGGGACAATAAAGTATATCTTATCTAATCTTATCTTGTGTTTCATACACGTCTTACACTTTTGCTCTTCCATTTTTAATCTTTGTATAACTTAAAAATAATATGTGAAACTGAGTAGGTCTAACTGTTTCTCACGTCCAAAGCATACATATAAATATCATGCCCTTTACAGGCCTGCTGTGCCTAGTTACAGTTGCTAAGACATGATTGGACAATTGCTGGGTTAGTGAGTGGTCAATTGATGGGTAGGGTGAAATAACTGACAATGCTTACCCCTCTATTTGTTAATGCAACAAGTGCTGCATGTCTGGCCTGAATCTATCCCTGCTTGTTATTGCAGACAAGAACCACAGTGAAGAAGCTGGCAGTGGCTCCGAAGTGGAAGAACTATGGCCTGAGAATATTTGGCTTCCTTCACCCTTACAGAGATGGTAACTAGCTCATCTTATTAGCGTGTCGATCCTCTGGGGCTGAGGGCCTTGGAGCATGTGTTCTTTATAAGAGCTGACAATTTCCCCAGCCCTGTTAATCCAAATGCCTGAGAGCTACTAATATAGTGGCTATTCACATTTTTATTAGGGCTGAATGCCAGAGATCTCACGGCCAAATCTCATTGCCCTCATGGACCGATCATCGAGAACAGTTGCTATGGTAACTGAAAAGCCTTACACCCAAGTGCCCTTACACAAATTGCAGAATATGAACTTATTAATTCGATTAGTGTTCATTTCAGTCTTTTATGTAGATTCTGCTTGTGGTTTGGCCCTCTCCAGCTGATGTATCAAAGGTCACACAATTCTCAGGCTTCCTGCATGAACTCGTAACAAGTGCCCTCCACCTCACAATGCAGGATGCAACCTTTAGGGGGGCATTGCAGCTTGATCGAGTGTAATTTAATTGTTAGCTGCTTGGAAATGCTTGTAAGTAGACCAAGATTACAGGAGATAAAGACACAATGTAATTTAATGATCTGAAATGTATCCACAGTTCTCTTTGAATACCTGTACCTGTACCTTCAGGATACATTTCTATTTAATACATGTCAAGTCAATGTTAAAACAGCCGAGGTTGACCAAAGTGTTTTTAAACTGCTTAGTATTGAAAATGCTTTGGAGAATTTCTATGCAATGAAAGACAATATCTCTCTGTGTTTTATATCTGCTACATAACACACAATACTGCATGTTCCGACACACCCAACACATCCAGATTTAAACATGTCAGTCTTTACAAGGACGAGAAACAACCGCAGCTCAATGATATGTCGTTTTTATTCACAACATAAAAGGGAAAGTTTCTCAGGCAACAGATTCAGTCTTGCATCAGCTAAGGCTAAAAAATAAGACTTAGCTGCTACTGATGCAGCTCCTACTAATAATAGATGGAGAAAATTTACATATTTTATACTCAAATATTAAACATTTTGATCAAACTTTTCTGTGTTCATGTTTGCTTTACATACCCCTTTTATGCAATGGTGTTTTTTTTTCTATAAACACACTTTGTATGTAAGGATTAGAAACTGTGGCCATCAGTGTTGGTGATAATTTTAGATCAATTTTTACACCTGTGAATCTTTTTTTCTGTGGCCTTGCCTTCTCTGATGCTACCGTGATTATACTGAGATCATACATATCCACTGCCACTAACACAAACTCTGATCATGTTCTTCCCTCTCCAGGTGATTTCCAGTTCTCTGTATCGTCTGATGATAACTCCGAGTTCTGGCTGAGTCCTGATGAGAGCCCTCTCAATGCCAGACTGCTGGTTTATGTAGGACAGGTAAGAGCTGAGCTTGTGCTGCAGTCTTGTATAATATCTGAGCCACAGAGAAAATCACTACTCTAAAATCCAAAAAGGTCCCCGCATGCTTTATGCTCTCTGATTCTCAGTGAATTCAAATTTTCAGGACTATGACTACAGTCTCTGGTTTTTAGCAACAAGCTTTTACTATGGGGAGTTATAGGATCACCTGGGGCCTTAAATAGTTTCCAACTCCTCAATGTCATGACTTAAATAGAAAAAAATACATTTGTATAATATATACCCCAGGGAAAGAGGCGCTTCCCCAGTACATTATGTGAAGAGAATCCAAACCCATACGATTTGCTGGGTTAGACTCTTAGCTCTTAATAGCATCCATTCGCTTCTTTCCTAGACAACCATGCACGGAATGACAGATTAGATGTAAGAAAGTATACTCTAGGTTTGTTGCTTTAAAGGGGATGTAAGAAACTGGATTATACAGGCTTTCAAAAAAGCACTGACCATTGGCCAAACAGCCGACTAGTCACTTAATTACAGCCGGCTCATTTTTCCTAATGTTGATTCTAATAGAAAAGTTCGACTAACAAGTTGTGACTCGCTTCCCCTGTACATGTTTGAAGCTTTCACCTTCACTAGAGCCATTATGATCTGTAAGGGTCAACCCCACCGCTCAGTGTGTGAGTGTGGCGGACATGAGAGCTCTCAGCTAATTGCAGACTTAAGTGTTTGAGAAATATGAGCAAGATAACTGCAGAGAAGAGGAAGAATCACATTTTACTGCACAGAGATGGTCATCATCATTACCATAATACTGGCTGCTTCAGAAAACACCAGATACCTCCTTTTACGTCATTACATTTCCACCACAAATTGTTGTTTTAATATTCACCAGAATGCATGAAATTAATGTTTGAATGCCCAAAATCTCACCACATCAAACAGTAATCCTTCAGAATCATACCAGGTTAACGTTTAATCAAATAATGCAAATGATCTCAACCCGGGAATTTGATAAACTTCACAAAAGTCAATCGTTTGTCACAGTAAGATTAGCTTTCAAAAACTTCCTACCTCAAAAAACTGTGATAGTGCTATTTATTCAGCTAATGAGTGTTACAACTTGTGAGAGAAAAGGCTTAAATTCCAAGGGAAGAAAAATGTGAGCTAGCTAGTGATTATTTAGTGAATATATGACAAGGTAAAACTACACATTTGATAACTTATTTTCCTAAAGCGAAGTCAAAGAAGCTTTCGGTAGCATTCAGCCAATCTTTAGCTAACATTAGCATCAGAGTTTCCCTATCTGTTACATTTTCTGATGCTGATCAGTTAAGAAGCTGAGAAATAATGATGCATTAGGCTCCTAAAGGTTTATAGGACTTGCATTTGAGCCTCCCAAACAGCTGAGCGTGACGTCAGAAGAAAATGGACGCTGTGTGAATTTCATGAATTGCTGTGATTTGACATCCATGCTGAGACAGGTTTTTAAAAAGAGCAGTGGGCCCTGACCAGACGACAACATCAACCCTGTAATTCACCTGCGCTCATCTGAACAGCAACAGGAGTGACACTGAGCTATTTGACCTTGCTGGTCTTTGGTAATCATCTGCGCGTGTCATGTCATCCTTGTAACTCTCAGGCTATCACTCACCTCCAACACACAGCTCACAAAACAGCCGACTTAAATCCTCCTGTAGAACATCCTCTGAGAAATGGTTTCCTTTTCCATCTATCCTTGAAGTAACCTCTGCCAGAAATCAAATAGAAGTCAAACTGTGCTGCTGCTGCCTTCGCCAACAAAGTTTTCTGGGTGAAACCTTCAGACAATTTTAAGACGTAAAGTATGCATGAAGCTGCAGAGTGTTTGAACTGCATCATATGACTGGTCCGGGCAATATGTAGAACGACTAAAGGTTCAGCTATGGAGCCATCTGTATTCTAACAGGATGTGAGATGCCACCAGGTTCTGTTGAAGCTGAGATTAATTAGCGGGCAGCGAATATTGATGTGACATTTAGCAGTGGAGAGATATCATCGAGGTAATGGCAGGGGACCAGTGCTATGGCCAGGGATCATTCATTCTGCCACAGGCTGACAGACAGGCCTCGCTGGCTGACCCGACCTCAGAGACACATCGTGTTTCACAGATCAAAATCTGACTCTCAGCTGTGTTTCTCATTACATGACCCATCTGTCTGCAGGAGTTCAGGGGACAACTTTTCTTTTATTTGTATCACTCTTTTATAAGTTAGTATTTGATATTCAGTGTATGTTGTGGTCCTTGCATATCAGCGATATTATGCTCCGAGAGGATGACTCAGTGCTTTGTTAATATGAAAAGAAGACTAACTGTCTTCCTTTTCAACCTTAAACTCTTAAAATGTCTTCTTGTAAATTTAATATGAATAAAAATGAGATAATTACAGGTGTTAATTGTTGGAAATAGATGATAATTAAGTGAACACATTATGTGAAGGCCACCTATCTGTTTGAATATTATTAAACACACTCACAGATAAAATGTTGTTGGAAAAAGGTCTGAGCTATTTAGCTAGTTGTAAAAGTGGATGGATCTGTCTGTGTTTGTTGTAATGTATCTCCAATGTTAAAATAATCTGATGATTGATTTGTATGCAGTGAGTGGAATCTCATTATTTTAACTTAAACTTTTACAGTTTTGTTTTTTTAGTTTTGTATTTTAAAGGCTAAAGGTTCAGAAGTTGGAACTTTGATGGTTCTGGAAAATATTTGTTAATGTTTCTTTTTTTGTCACTTTATTGCAAAAGTCATAAACAGTCATCATTCAAAACAGTTACCTCAGAATGCGTTGTAGGTGGGAGGGGGCGGGGTTTGCGCTTTACTGATCTTTAGATTTCATGTACCTGTACAGTCCATCAAGTCTTTCTTTTGGATACATATTGTGTACTTCCTGTAGGTCACCTCTTAGAAGATATGTATATTCTTCATTGTCTAAAGGTTGTTCTATAGTTAAAAATAATATTTTAGGTCTAGGTGGATGTTGTTGTTTCCACGTCCTTGTTATCTGCTTCATGGCCGTCACTCGCAAAATGTTAAAAAGATAAATATCAGCAGCGTTTATTACCTCCAGTAAATTGATGCCCAAATAATGTTCTACCTCTAAATGTGTATTTAACTGAAAAATGAACTTGAAAACTTTATTTACCTCTTCCCAAAATGATAATAAAACTGGACATTTCAAGAAGTCAGCATAGTTTGCCTCTTGTTCCCCACACCCTCTCCAACAATTGGCTCAGTATGTTAAAGTTTCATGAGGTACTTTGTAAAAATGTAGCTGTTAGTTATTCTGAGGTTTTAAGGATAATAAATCACATTATATATAATCAAAATGTCAAATTTCAACCCCTGACAGGATGTTAAATAAATTAACAAGACTATTAAATCACAAGTGTATGCCTGACTCAGTATTTGTGGAGCTGTATAGTGTAGTTGACTGAATAGATTTAATGGCATGGCTGTATTTCCTCCTCTATGTCCTGACTCACTGCTCTAAAAATACACATTCTATTGTAAAGGATTGCTGCTTCATGTTAGTCCTCACTGTAGTTGTTATCCTGAATAGTGGACTGGCTATATATGGAATGTGCTGCCATGAGACATTTAGCCATGATAGGATGGAAACTAGGGACCTGAACTGTTTCTGTAGAGACCCTTGTCAGCATTTGGTTAGCTTGCAAATCTTTCACCGGCTGTGTCAGACATCTCCTGATACCCCTCAGGACATCTCCACGAAGAGATGACATCATCCTCCAAGGTCAATTTTTGCCTTTCCTGCACGCCCACACACCCACACACACACACACACACACTTGAAAAGAAAAATGCATATAGAGAAAGTTGTCTACTTAAGCCTTTTTTTAAAAACCTGATTCACATGTAGCTACTTTAAAACATACATCAAAGCATTTCTCAGAAAGTGAAACTCGACATTGAGTCATGGCTGGTTGGTCGTTTTACTCCCTTATGCACACCAACTCATTTTGGTCATGTCTTTAGAGGGAGTGGAAATATCTAATAAACACACTCTCCTTGGTTCTGCTGGGACACTATCCGTGAGCATACGGATGTAAGTAATGTGGCTGCGGATGATGCATTGTCCCCTCTTGGCATTAATCATATTTTACAGCTAATCCGTAATGAGATTTTCCTTCAATCAGAATGTACAGACAACTCCCGCAGAGCTTCCCCACGGAACCAGACGAGGCTTGTCTGATATTGAGAGAGCCTTTTAAGTAGTACAAAGATCTAGTGTGCGTCTACATTCATGACTTCTGTGTGTTCATGCACTGCTGAGTTTGAGCAGACACATGCAGGTTTCAGATGTATGTCATACATGTTGTGATACCTGTTCCGTCTGGTTTTAAGGGGTAGACACAGGGAAACAAACACACATTTGGAGACAGGAGACCGAGTCAGAGAGGTGTAATCAATATGAGACTTAACAGCAACAGGAGCTGTACTCGGTCGTAGATGGGAAGAATTTTATCAGAAGAGTTGTGAAGAAACAGGCTTACTGTAAGTGCCCTAGACAGTTTTTTTTTTCATGTTGTTTTCATCGCTTGGAATATTCTGGCTAGATGACGAGCTAGATGGGTTGATTTTAACTGCCAAGGTATTTAATATGCCCGACTCACCGCAACCGCAAAAAGGAATGACTGCCGTATAAACAAGCCAACGATGGTGAACGGAGGTAACCGCCATAATGTTCAGACAGACTAAAAGGCCACTGCACTGGTACCTAAACCAAAAGTAACTACGCCCCTTTGGGAACATTTCGGCTTACAGTCAAATGAAAAAAGGATTTGTCAAATCTGCGCCAAAAAGATCCCTGCGAGGAAACACATTTAATTTGAGCTCTCACCTCATGAATAGTATCTGACCCACAAGATTATTTTGATTGTGACTTTTACCTATTTTATAATATTTTTGAACAACAACGTTGTGACAATCAGTAGCAGACCACGGAGCAGTGTGCA